GGAATCCCACTCCTTGGAATTTACCCAAAGAATACAACTTCTCAGATTCAAAAAGACATATGCACCCCTATGTTTATCGCAGCACTTTTTACAATAGCCAAGATACGGAAGCAACCTAAGTGTCCAACAGTAGACGAATGGATAAAGATGTGGGACATATACACAATGGAATACTATTCAGCCATAAGAAAGAAACAAATCCTACCATTTGCAACAACATGCATGGAGCTGGAGGACATAATGCTCAGTGAAATAAGCCAGGCGGATAAAGACAAGTGCCAAATGATTTCCCTCATTTGAGGAGTATAACAATGAAGCAAAACTAAAGGAACAAAATAGTAGCAGACTCAGAGACTCCAAGAAGGAACTAGTGGTTACCAAAGGGAGGGGTGTCGGAGGGTGGGTAGGGATGGAGGGAGAAGGGGGTTGAGGGGTATTATGTTTAGTACACATGGTGTGGGGTATCATGGGGAGAGCAGTGTAGCACAGAGAAGGCACATAGTGGATCTGTGGCATCGTGCTGCACTGATGGACCATGACTGCATTGCGGTATGGGTGGGGACTTGATAATATGGGTAAATGTAGTAACCACATTGTTTTTTCATGTGAAACCTTCATAAGAGTGTATATCAATAATACCTTAAAAAAAATTTTTTTAAAAAGAAACAATTCAAATGCCCATTAGTGGATGAATGGATAAAAAAGATGTGGTACATATCCCATTTGAGACAACATGAATGGACACTAAGCAATTTGTGCTAAGATAAATCAGACAAAGACAAGTACCGTGTGATATCACATATGGAATCTAAAAGTGTTAAACCTGTAAAAAAAGGGTAAAATGGTGGTTACTGGTGCCATTGGGGAATAATAGTGATGGTATTTAAGGGTATAAATGTACAGTGAGTAGTAAATAAGGCACAGAGATCTAAGGCACAGTGTAACAAATATAAATATTATACTATAATTATGCAATGTGATACATCCTCCTACATCAGCAATCATAATACAAAAATGTATCAATGTACCATGTTGTATACCTTAAACTTACACAATGGAACACAAAATTTATTCAATTAAAAACGTGTCCTCAAATTCTTGACACTTCTTCTTTCAGAGGTAAAGCCCAATTTCCCTTTCCTTGAACATGGGCTGGAATTAATGACTCACTTCTAATGAAGAGAATGTGGCAGCAGTCACGGTAACTTCCACAGCTAAACTGCCACTTCCATCCTGCCTGGGGGAAGTTAGCCATCATGTCAAGAAGGGACCCAGGCAGACTACAGAGAACCTGTCTGGGGAGGAACGGTGACCTCCTGGCAACACTCAGTATCAACTTGCCAGTCATGTGAGTGAGGCCCTTGGAAGTAGCCTCGAGCCCACCAAGCCTTCAGATGCTGCATCCCTTGCCAATATCTTCGAGCTAAGCCACTACAAAATAACTAATGTTTATTGTTCTCTTAAGTTTAGGGATTATTTGTTATGCAACAATATATAACTAAGACAACAACCTATCACTTTCTAGAACCAAATTTAATCTCCAACAGGAACTAAAAATAGCTCACTTCAGTTTAATACTCTAACTGCCCATGTTAATAAAATTTCTAATTTTCCTTCCCAATTACTAGGTAGTGGTCCTTTTTCAATTTCCCCAAATTGTTTCAAACTATTGTATAATATTCATCACTTGCTAAATTAATTCTGAGAAACAGTAACCTAAGCAGACCTCAGTTGGTCAGCAAAGCCACTGTACTAGGTACTGAGTGGAGAACCATGCTCTTGAGATATTTATAATTTATTTCAGGTTACTACTCGTGAAACAACTTCTATTTTTTAACTAAACTTTTCCCTTAGCTCTGCAGGTTATAGGTCAATGGAAGAAGGTTTGGGAAGTGTTTCCTTTACCTCTGTCAGGGATCCACAAGCCACACCACCACGCAGGGCTTCATCTAGTGCAGAAAGGGTTGTAGCTAAGAATGCTGGTGAGGGAGCAGCACACCTTTGTGTCTTCATCCCATAAACCTGAACAAGGAAAAAATGAAGTTCTTTTCAACCTCTAGATCTATTCAAAAGCAGAAACCAAATCCAAACCCCAAATTTTAGCAGCTGTAACCGCAATACATCATTTTTCCTCTATTATTTATTTGTTCAACAAATATTTACTCTGTGCCAGGGACTGTGATAGATTATTAGGGATATGACATAATAACAGAAGCATACAGAGCACCTGGCCTTACAGTACTTACTGTCAACCAGAAACTGAAATTAGAACTAGAAACTGGGCAATTACAGTACGATTAATAAAGAGATATTGTGATAGGGTAAGTGGAGACACAGAAATAATATACTGATCTAGATTTTGTGATCCAGGAAGACTTCACAGAAGAACTGGATGTCTGAGCTAAAATCTGAAATAGCTGTTAGACAGGCATAGGAAATGTGCATGTTCCTGCCAAAGAGAGACAGAATTTACACAGAAAGGGAAGAAACAGAAACTAACAAAAACTACTAAAACAACAGAGTTCACTTAGAATGGTTGAAAGATGGGGTGTGGTCATAGTGAGATAAGCAATGAAGCTGGAAAAATATGTGGGAGCCAAATCATGAAAAGCCTTGTTGAAGTTTGGAGTTTATGCTGAGAGCAACAAGGAGTGAGTTATCGTTTTAAACCAAGGTTGGTTTGTGAAGAGCAGTTTGAAGGTAGGTATAGTAGGCTGAGAAGCGGCCCACCAGAAGACATCCATATCAAATCCTTAGAACCTGTAAATGTTTTTTTATTTCAAATAAGGGTCTTCGCACATATGACTAACATGATTACATGCCCACTGGAAATGTATAAAAATCACGTGTCTCTCCAGGTAAGATTCCTCAAGGGAGGAACAACCTAAGACAGGCACAGTCGCAGGGGGCCATCAGGTGAGAAATTGGGGATCAACAGAGGTGAGGCTCAGAACCTCACCCCCCCTGTTTTGAGAGAAATCTTCTGCATCCGTGGATGTTTTGCTGCCCTTGTCTAGCTTGGATTAATACTTAGTCCATAGGCACACACCTGATCATCTACATTTGCCCTCTTACAGCACTAAACTATGTTTTCTACCTTTATCTTGCCTCTACCTACCACTTCAGCATTTTATTAAAAATAAAAATAATAATAATAATAAAGGGAGAAATGTGGGATCCACATATAAATCAAGTATAAAAATCAAACGAATATTCATATTTGACCTGATTGTTTATAGTTCATAATGCGTGATCAAAACTGAAAGTTTCTGTGATGACTGCCCTTGTACTGTTCACCATGTAAGAATTTATTCACTATGTAAGAATTCGTTCACCATGTAAGAACTTGTTCGTTATGCTTCAGAAGATTGGAGACTGACGAGAATTAGGCTTGAGATGGATTAATGATTGTACATTGAGCATTGACCCCCCTATACTGAATTTTATTGTTGTTAACAACCATTTGATCAATAAATGAGAGATGCCCTCTCAAAAAAATAAAATAAAAATTTAAAAATTTAAAAAAATTTTTTTAAAAACTGGGTAATAAAAAAAAATCACGTGTCTCTCTACAATCTCTTACTTTAAAAATTACTATTTTATTAAGTTGCCCAAGTAAGCTGAGGTCAAGCCACAGAATTGTAATCATTCATTCATTTGATAAATACTGAGTGCCTACTGCATGCCATATACTATGATAAACTCTGGGACTCAGTGGTAAACCAAACAGACATAGTTCCTACCCACTTAAAGTTTACAATTCAATAAACCTCTCTCTCAAATCCAAATCAAAACCTATCTCTTCTTCCTCTGTGAAGATGTACAAGACCGGCATATTGATACTTATCAGCCATAAATGTGCCCCCTCTTGTCTTATCTCACCTAGTGAATTTTTAGATCAATGAAACCATGGGTTATCACAGATTTTTTTAAAGCTATATTCAGGCACATTAGAAAAAAATAGACAAAGTCCTATGATTTGCATATGATTTGGTCATTCCTGAATAATGTCTATAATCTGCCATAAGGCATCATAGATGGACATGGGAATACTTTATCAAACTTGTGAAGGCAGCCCAATATGTCAACATTAAAGTACTTACAACTGTAATTATAATCACCAGAATAATAGATTTAGTGAAAACCCACACACAAAAAAAGAATAAGATGAACTAACAGAACAAGACTCAGAAATAACAGTATATATGTAAATGAGACAAAAGGAATATTATGATATGACACTCCACCAGTTTATTTTCTACTTTGGTGGCTGCTGCTTCTCACATTCATCATTCTCTAATCTTATCTTTAAATGTTGGCCTCACTGGTTCTTAGGTAAACTTACCTCCTTGCTATATACACTTTCTAGGCAATCACTCATCCATTCCTGTGGATTTGACTATCATAGTTACACTGATGAATCCCAAATGCACACATCTATTGCAGACCTCTCCTATAAGCACTAGGTCCATATATTTAACTGCCTACTCCACATCTCCACTCAGTCTTTCACAAACACCTTAAATTGGACAAGCACTAAATGAAATTCATGATCTGCCCCCTCAAATCTGATCCTCTTCCAGTTTTCCTTATCTCCGGCCATGGTACTACCCAGTTTCTCAAAGCAAAGTTTATGGAATCATCTCTAATGTCCCTATATCCCACTACCCACAGTCAATCACCAAATCCCACCCATTCTGCCTCCTAAATCTCTCTCATGATAACTGATATTATACCACCTGCTTTAATATGACACTAATAATCCATGTCACAATCACTTTCTGTCTGAGATATAGATATAAATACTTAACTAGTTTGTACAAATATTGTGTTGATCCTATTCAATCACTTGTCTTTGTTGAAGACTGAGTTTTTAAAAACCTATATTAGATCATACCCTTTTATGACTTCTCATTGCTCTCAGAATAAAATCCAAAGTCCTTAACATGCTCTGCAGGCCCCAATGGTCTGACTCCTGCTTACTTCTCTGACTTCATCTCTTGCCAAGCTCTTCCTCACTGCTACATTTCATTCATACCAGCCTGAGTTTCCTATACAAGCACCATTCTCTTTCTTGCCACGAGGCCTTTTCATTTCCTAGTCCCACTACCTGCAAACTTTTTCCCACTCACCTCCCTTTCCAACTCCTTTGCCTCTCTCTCCTATTCATCCTCAGGTTTTAACTAAAGTGTCACTACCTTGGGAGAACTCTTCTTGACCCCTAAACTAAGTACTGGCCCTGTTATTAGTTTCAAAGCTCTGTACTTTTCCTTGATAGGACTTACCATTACTGCAATGAACTAATTATTTCTGTAATAATTTGTTTACTGCCTGACTTCTTCCACTAGACTGTAAGGGCAGGAACTTTATCAATCATGTTCACAACAATATTCCCAGTACCTAACAGGCTACCTGACACATTAAATGCTGGAGCTCAATAAATACTGGTTGAAGGAATAAATGACTGAATAAATACATGAGCAAAAACATTTTTCATGAAGGAATGAACTAAGACTAAACCAGTGTTTAAGGCAGGACTCAAATCTAAAGAATTCTACAAAAGTAAACATACAACAGAGGAGAAAGATGGCTTCTTGAGTTGACATTTGGAATGGTACTGATACTGCAGCTGGAAATGTTGATAGAAGTGGAAACTAAAATTGAATTCCTTGCCCAGCTTTCTTATTTCATCATGTAATAGTCATAAACCATAGATATTGACCAAAGAGAACAACAAATGCCAAATTAAAAGCTTTCCTTGCTACTTTACAACTTTTAAAATTTTAACAAGTTAATCTGAAACCTAATCACAGATTCATCACATACTAGTTTAACTCTCTAAATTCTCCCATAAAACAAAGTGAGCTATTCAAAGCTGCAAGATTAATGACAAAGCTAAGACTAGTACCAATCTATAATGCTGATTCTAATTCTCCTGGCTTTTCTGCCTCTAAAGTATTTCCCTTTGATCACAACCTAAACCTGAACAAAAGGAAATACTTTATCTGTTCGTTGTTTACAAATTTCAAATGATACTAACATTCTTTCCTTCCCACTGCATAAAACTGCACCCAACTTTATTGCTCAATGATAACTAAATTTCAGTATAAGAGAATAACACAAGTAATTTAAAATCTACATAAATAAGTACATTTGCAAATCATTGAACAGACTTTTAGGCAGTTCTTATCATAGGAAAAAAAGATATTTTCTATCACACAATAAACCTACATTTTGAAAAGCTAAACTCATGAGAAAGAAAGCATGAAATAATAGTACAACTTGACAAGGACTAGTTATAAAAGACTTTTTAGCTCTTTTCATGAGTTAGGATAAATTTTCAAGTATTATTTATTTAATTATAACCAAGTATAAGTCTAATATGTGTACTTTATGATGCAGAGTAAGAGATGATGGTGAAAATTAGTATTACAGAGTCAGGGCACTCTAAAATTAAAAGTATATTATAATTTAACCATGACGTCCACATATCCTACCCAAATAAACAAAAGAGAAAGGTGACATTTTGAAATATCACAGTCAGCTAGACAGGAAAAAACTTCCTGCTGCCTGTTCATTCCCATAATTAGAAACTGTCTCCCATGAGCATAAATTTTCACATATACTGTGGACCCTTGAACAAAATGGGTTTGAACTGCACAGGTCCACTTACACATGTATTTTTTTTTTTCAGTAAATATATCAGAAAATTTTTTGGACATTTGTGAAAATTTGAAAAAACATTTTCATTTCTCTAGCCTATTTTATTGTAAAGATATAGTATATAATACATACAATATACAAAATACATGTTAATTGATTCTATGTAATTGGTAAGGCTCTGGTCAATGGTAAGCTATTAGCAGTTCAATTTTGAGAGAGTCAAAAGTTATAGGCAGATTTTCAACTGGCGGGGGTGGGGCAGTTGGCAACCCTACACCCTGCATTGTTCAAGGTTCAACTGTATTCTCATTAAAGGACTAACTCTATGGTGCGAGAACCAATATTTTTGAGGTGCTCGTCGCTATTTTTGCTTCTGCCTCATTCCAAAACAGATTTGAGTCAGCTAAAGTCATTTCAAACTAAAAATCATAATCAAATTATAATAAAAAATATATACGTACAGTTTGCATTTGTGGGGCACAGGCCCTACTGACCGTACAGAGAAGTTCATGGACACCATGATAACTAAGGCCAGTCATCTTCATAAGCTCCAGTGGGGAAAGACATAAAAAATCCTAAAGAGATATAAAGAGAGTATTTTAAACATTTATGTGCAACAAAGATACTGGGATTAAAAAGAAATCTTCAATTGACACTGTCCATGTATAGATAAAAGCATAATTTATTGTGAATCAAAGACTTGTGTGTTCTTTATTATGTGTTCTAAATACGCCTTACCTAAAAGATATGATGACAAAAGCTTATCTTCTAATTACCCAATGCAGTTAACAGATACCAGAGAACACACCAAGTAAAGTCACAGCGCAGCAACCACTGCCCCAGGTGTGTGTGAGCACTGCACTTGTGCTGAAAGAGTCTGGGCCCAAACAGCCAGCCAGGAAATGTCACATGGAAACGAGTGGCTACCTCAACTATGAGATCACCCAGAGAAGTAGTTAATAATCAAGAAAGAATAAAACTGACTATGGAATGGAGTTTCAAATTTCATACTTTCAAGAGTATTTCAAAGTATAAACGTAAGGATTATTAAATGTACAACAGAGGAACCAAAGATACTGTTAATACACAATGCTATTTTTAAAAAACTGCAGCATGCTCTGAAAGTCTGTCTTATGAAGGATTAAATTCCAGCGTAAAACTGTAAATCTTATTTAGTGTCCAAAGAGGAACTTGCTTCACTACTGTGCTTAAAAAATGCAACATCAGCTCTATATATTTCTCTCACTCCATCAAGAAGAAAATGATGCTACTGATTTCTTGTGCTTTTGAGAGAAATTTTCATTTTTAATATCATCTCTTCATTTGAGTGGTATTTCTCATGTAACTACAAATTGTATTTTAAGTGGACAAAACTTCTCTAGAGTAAATAGCACAGGTATAATTCACCTTATGCCATGAGCATTCTCCCTATCCGAGCCCACCCCAAAATGCAAAAATACTGACTTTGAATAAATAAGATCACATTTGGAAATACAACTTTCTTAAATTTTTTTACATATGGTTATATAAAACTATATTTGTAGGAGACAGGATTAAAGATGGCAGCATGAGAGGTGAGACAGAGGCTTCCTCCTAAAACTGCAATATAATATGAAAATTTAATTAATACTAATTATATTATATATAATTATACTAATTATATATATATATAATATATAATTAATACTAATTATATATAATCCTGAAAGACCAACAGTAAAGAGGACTGCGTTAGACTGCATACACCTGGAGAAAAGAGCAGACCTCACGGAACAGGGTAACTTACCAGAGCTGTGGCCCGGCGGCACCCAAGCCCTTCCCCACTGCCAGCTCATGGGAGCGGAAGGAAGAGAAATGGAGCAGGGAGGGAGTGGAGGCCTGGGACTGCTGGATACCTAACTCCAGAGGTCTGCCCTGGGAGCACAAACCTACATTTCATGGTGCTTGCATGGTACTCTCATGATTAGGGGGTTCAAAAGCTAAGACAGGCAGAATTCCAGGAGACACTGAGATTCCAGCCACTTGTGGAAAGCAGGGATCCATATCCGGCTCCTCTAGGACAAAAGAAAGGCAGACAGTCTAAGAGACTTCCTAAAAAGGAAGCCCTTAGCAAGATGGCTGCTAAAGGGGCAAGGATTCAACAGAGCTTACTGCTCAAGAGAAAGGACAGATAGACAAAATTGTCTGGGTGCACTCTACCCAGCAAGTTGGGAGCTTTCACGATCTTCAGGGGCTCTAGCTCCCTGGCTGGCTACACAGCTCCAAGGACCCCCTCCATGATACGCAGCCTACTGCGCCTTTCTCCCGGCCAGTCCCACTTGGCTCTCAAACTGGCAAACCTTACCCTGGCGTTAGGCCAGCCAGAGGGAAGGTCTGTCTAAAGCAACTAAAAACGCAAAGCATAGAGGTTTATACCTGTGTGCTCAGCCCACTGGTTCAGGCAGTGAAGACAGGCATAGCAGCCAGGAAGCAGGAAACAGCTCTTTCCTCCCCCCAGGCACCAATACCACTTCCCTGCGAACCATGACATTGCTTCAGGGGCTGAGCAGCTCCAGAGAGTAGAGCTTCTGGGCACTAGAGGGCGCCATATCCAAACATATACAAACATGAAATGCCAAAGAAACCTGGTTCAGAGTAAAATTAATACAATTCCTGAGAAAGGTGACATGGAACTCATGACTCTTCCTGAAAGGGAGTTCAAAATAAAAATCATTAACATGCTCATGGAGCTACGGAATGATATTAAAGAACTCAGTAATGAATTCTGGTCAGAGATCCAATCATTGAAGAGTACAATGGAGGGTATTAAAAGTAGATTAGATACAGTGGAGGAGACGATAAATGAAATAGAAACTAGAGAAGAGGAATACAAAGAAACTGAGGCACAGAGAGAAAAAAGGATCTCTAAGAATGAAAGAATATTGAGAGAACTGTGTGACCAATCCAAACGGAACAATATCGCATTATAGGGGTACCAGAAGAAGAAGAGAGAGAAAAAGGGATAGAAAGTGTCTTTGAGGAGGTAATTGCTGAAAACTTCCCCAATCTGGGGAAGGAGATAGTCTCTAAGGTCATGGAGATCCACAGATCAACCAACACAAAGGACCCAAGGAAGACAACACCAAGACATACAGTAATTAAAATGGCAAAGATCAAGGATAAGGTCAGACTATTAAAAGCAGCCAGAGAGAGAAATAAAATCACATACAAAGGAAAGCCCATCAGGCTATCATCAGACTTCTCAGCAGAAACCTTACAGACCAGAAGGGAGTAGCATGATGTATTTAATGCAATGAAGCAGAAGGGCCTTGAACCAAGATTACTTTATTTGGAAAGATTATCATTTAAATTTGAAGAAGGGATTAGACAATTTCCAGATAAGCAAAAGCTGAGAGAATTTACCTCCCACAAACCATCTCTACAGTGTATTTTGGAAGGACTGCTATAGATGGAAGTGTTCCTAAGGTTTAATAGCTGTCACCAGAGGTAATAAAACTACAGTAAGAAAGTAGAACAGCTAAATACTAAGAAAATGCAAAATTAAATTAACTATCCCCAGAGTCAATCAAGGGATAGACAAAGAGTACAGAATATGATACCCAATATGTAAAGAATGGAAGAGGAAGAAAAAGGAGGAGAAAAAAAAAAGAACCTTTAGATCGTGTTTGTAATACCATATTAAGTGAGTTAAGTTAGACTCTTAGATAGTAAGGAAGTTGCTGTTGAACATTTGGTAACTGCGAATCTAAGATCTGCAATGGCAATAAGTACATACATATAGATACTCACCCTAAATGTAAATGGACTGAATGCACCAATCAAAAGACATAGAGTCACTGAGTGGATAAAAAAACAAGACCCATTGATATGATGCTACAAGAGACTCACTTTAAACCCAAAGACATACACAAACTAAAAGCAAAGGGATGGAAAAAGATATTTCATGCAACTAATAGGGAGAAAAAAGCAGGAGTTTCAGTACTTGTATCAGACAAAATAGACTTTAAAACAAAGAAAGTCACAAGAGACAAAGAAGGACATTACATAATAATAGAGGGGTCAATCCAACAAGAAGATATAACCTTATAAATATCTATGCTCCCAACACAGGAGCACCTACATATGTGAAACAAATACTAACTGAATTAAAAGGGGAAATAGAATGCAATGCATGAATTCTAGGAGACTTCAACATACCACTCACTCCAAAGGACAGATCAACCAGACAGAAAATAAGTAAGGAGACAGAGGTACTGAACAACACATTAGAACAGATGGACCTAACAGACAGCTACAAAACTCTACACCCAAAAGCAGGAGAATACACATTCTTCTCAAGTACACATGGAACATTTTTCAAGAATAGATCATATACTAGAAGACAAAAAGAACCTCAGTAAATTAAAAAGATTGAAATTCTACCAAAAAACTTCTCAGATCACAAAGGTATTAAACAAGAAATAAATTGTACAAAGAAAACAAAAAGGCTCACAAACACATGGAGGTTTCACAATATCCTCCTAATAACCAATGGATCAATGACCAAATAAAAACAGAGATCAAGCAATATATGGAGACAAATGACAACAATAATTCAACACCGCAAGATCTGTGGGACGCAGCAAAGGCCGTGCTAAGAGGAAAGTATATTGCAATACAGGCCTACCTCAGGAAAGAAGAACAATCCCACATGAGCAGTCTAAACTCACAATTAACAAAACTAGAAAAAGAGAACAAATGAGGCCCAAAGTCAGCAGAATAAAGATTCAAGCAGAAATACATAAAAGTGAGAAGAATAAAACAATAGAAAGAATCAATGAAAGCAAGAGCTGGCAAAGACAGCACAAAAAAAGAAAATTTTAGACCAATAACCCTGATGAACATAGATGCAAAAATACTCAACAAAATATCAGCAAACTAATTAAAAAAAATCGGCAAACCGAATTCAAAAATACAACAAAAAGATCATCCATCATGATCAAGTAGGATTTATTCCAGGGATGCAAAAGATGGTACAACATTCGAAAATCCATCAACATCATCCACCACATCAACAAAAAGAAGGACAAAATCCACATGACCATCTCCACAGATGCTGAAAAAGCATTTGGCAAAATTCAACATCCATTCATGATAAAAACTCTCAACAGAATGGGTATAGAGGGCAAATACCTCAACATAATAAAGGCCATATATGACAAACCCACAGCCAACATTATACTTAACAGTGAGAGGCTGAAAGCTTTTCCTTTAAGATTGGGAACAAGACAAGGATGCCCACTCTCCCCACTCCTATTGAACATAGTACTGGAGGTCCTAGCCATGGCAATCAGACAACACAAAGAAATAAAAGGCATCCAGATTGGTAAGGAAGAAGTTAAACTGTCCCTGTTTGCAGATGACATGATATTGTACATAAAAAAACCCTGAAGAGTCCACTCCAAAACTACTAGATCTAATATCTGAATTCAGCCAAGTTGCAGGATACAAAATTAATATGCAGAAATCTGTGGCATTCCTATATACTAATAATGAACTAGCAGAGAGAGAAATCAGGAAAACAATCCTATTCACAGTTGTATCAAAAAGAATAAAATACCTAGGAATAAACCTAAACAAGGAAGTGAAAGACCTATACTCTGAAAACTACAAGACACTCATGAGAGAAATTAAAGAATATATCAATAAATGGAAACACATTCTGTGCTCATGGATAGGAAGCATTAATATTGTCAAAATGGCCATCCTGCCTAAAGCAATCTACAGATTCCTATCAAAATACCAAGAGCATTCTTCAACAAACTAGAGAAAATCATTCTAAAATTCATATGGAACCACAAAAGACCCCAAATAGCCAAAGCAATCCTGGGAAGGAAGAATAAAGCGGGGGAATCTCACTTCCCAACATCAAACTCTACTACAAAGCCACAGTAATCAAGACAATTTGGTACTTGCACAAGAACAAACCCATAGACCAATGGAACAGACTACAGAGTTGTGATATAAACCCAACCATATATAGTCAATTAATATATGATAAAGGAGCCATGGACATACAATGGGGAAATAACAGCCTCTTCAACAGCTGGTGTTGGCAAAACTGGACAGCTACATGCAAGAGAATGAAACTGGATTATTGTTTAACCCCATGCATAAAAGTCAACTTGAAATGGATCAAAGACCTGAATGTAAGTCATGACACCATAAAACTCTTAGAAGACAACATAGGCGAAAATCTCCTGAATATAAGCATGAGCAACTTCTTCCTGAACCCATCTCCTCAAGAAGGGGAAACAAAAGCAAAAATGAACTCTTGGGAGTACATCAAACTAAAAAGTTTCTGTACAGCAAAGGATACCATCAACAGAACAAAAAGGCATCCTACAAGTATAGAAGAATATATTTGTAAATGATGTATCCGACAAGGGGTTAACATCCAAAATATATAAAGAACTTACATGCCTCAACACCCAAAAAGCAAATAACGTGATTAACAAATGGGCAGAGGATATAAAGAGACAGTTCTCCAAAGAAGAAATTCAGATGGCCAACAGACACATGAAAAGACACTCCACATCACTTATCATCAGGGAAATGCAAATTAAAACCACAATGAGATATCACCTCACACCAGTAAGGATGACCAGCATCGAAAAGACTAAGAACAACAAATGCTGGCGAGGATGCGGAGAAAGGGGAACCCTCCTACACTGCTGGTGAGAATGTAAGCTAGTTCAACCATTATGGAAAGCAACATGGAGGTTCCTCAAAAAACTAAAAACAGAAATACTATTTGACCCAGGAATCCCACTCCTTGAAATTTACCCAAAGAATACAACTTCTCAGATTCAAAAAAAGACATATGCACCCCTATGTTTATCGCAGCACTTTTTACAATAGCCAAGATATGGAAACAACCTAAGTGTCCATCAGTAGATGAATGGATAAAGAAGATGTGGTACATATACACAATGGAATACTATTCAGCCATAAGAAAGAAACAAATCCTACCATTTGCAACTACATGGATGGAGCTGCAGGACATTATTTATGCTCAGTGAAATAAGCCAGGTGGAGAAAGACAAGTGCCAAATGATTTCCCTCATTTGTGGAGTATAACAATGAAGCAAAACTAAAGGAACAAAATAGCAGCAGACTCAGAGACTCCAAGAAGGAATTAGTGGTTACCAAAGGGGAGGGATGTGGGAGGGTAGGTGGGAGGGAGGGAGAAGGGGATTGGGGGGATTATGTTTAGTACACATGGTGTGGGGTATCATGGGGAAAACAGTGTAGCACAGAGAAGGCAAATAGTGAAATCTGTGGTATCTTACTACACTAATGGACAGTGACTGCATTGGGGTATGGGTGGGGTCTTGATAATATGGGTAAATGTAGTAACCACATTGTTTTTTCATGTGAAACCTTCACAAGAGTGTATATCAATAATATCTTAATAAAAAAATTTTTAAATAAAAAAATTAACGTTTGCTTTAAAAAGACTATATTTGTATATATTGAGTGGCTTGTTACTTAAAATTAGCCTATTAGAAGCACCATCATTTTTCTTTTTCTTTATTTTTAGAAACCTAAATTTTCATATTTCAGGTTTATTTAAGAGCTATTAAGGTATACTTAAGATTAATTTGTAAAGTTTCTCACTGAGAAAAATTAAATAAGTTTTACCTGACAGGTAACAATCTGATATCTGTTCAGACGGTCACACAGCTCTTCTGATAACCCCACTCGTCTTAGTTTCCTGCTACTCATGCCTTCTGCTGCAGCTAAAAAGAAAACTTTGAAAAAACATTGGAAAATAGCATAAGTGATAGTAGATGGATTATCCCAAACATTCTGCAAAATAAAAAATTCTTCAAGCTTCTCCATATGCAATATGAAATGTATAGCATTAAAATGTTACTGATAAAATAAAGAAAGGCTATAGAATCTTTCTAAATGTTTTCAATAAGGAAGACAACTATTTGCCAAACATGTACACAGAGAAACAAGACCACACAAGCATGTGCATTTCACACAGTTCTTTTATACTTACTATATGAATACAGTGAGACCATTTCACTTTTGAATAGTATCTTGAGATTTTCAATATATTTATAAATTTTATTTGGATGTGTAATTAACCTTCAAGGCACATCTCCAAACAGCACTCCTAGGAAGTCTTTACTTTCATTGTACTGTAAATAATAAATTTATTCAGCACCTATTGTATATTAGGTAGTAGTCCAAAGCTTTGCATAAATTATCACAGTTAATCTTCTCAGCAGCCCTATAAAGAAGATTGATTACAGATCACATTTTTACATATGAGAAAACTAAAGCCTGGAAATGTTAGCTATCCTGTTGTCACCAGAAAAAGTAAATGGGGGAGGTGGGAATGTAAATTAGTTCAACCATTGTGGAAAGCAGTATGGAGGTTCCTCAAAATGCTCAAAAGAGAAATAGCATTTGACCCAGGAATTCCACTTCTAGAAATTTACCCTAAGAATGCAGCACTCCAGTTTGAAAAAGACAGATGCACCCCTATGTTTATCGCAGCACTATTTACAATAGCCAAGAAATGGAAGCAGCCTAAGTGTCCATCAGTAGATGAATGGAATGAATGGATAAAGATGTGGTACATATTCACAATGGATTATTCAGCCATAAGAAAACAAATCCTACCATTTGCAACAACATGAATGGAGCAAGAGGGTATTATGCTCAGTGAAATAAGCCAGGCGGAGAAGACAAGTACCAAATGATTTCACTCATCTGTGGAGTATAAGAACAAAGAAAAAACTGAAGGAACAAAACAGCAGCAGAATCACAGAACCCAAGAATGAACTAACAGTTATCAAAGAGAAAGGGACTGGGGAGGATGGGTGGGAAGGGAGGGATAAGGGCGGGGAAAAGAAAGGGGGCATTACAATTAGCATGTATAGTGTTGTGGGGAGGTACGGGAGGGCTGTACAACACACAGAAGACAGGTGGTGATTATACAGCATCTTGCTACGCTGATGGACAGTGACTGTAGTGGGGTGTGGGGGGGGATTTGATGAGGGGGGGAGCCTGGTAAACATAGTGTTCTTCAGGTAATTGTAGATTAATGATAGCAAAATTTTTTAAAAAAAGTAAATGGGGGAATCCATAATTTGAACACAGTAAGTTTGACTCTGAGGCCTAATCTCTGAACCATTACCCTCTACTGTTAAGTCTATTTGTAAGTCTATAATCATATTTAACCTCTCCTTTTCTAATGAGTCAGAGAAAATCTTCTGAACCAAATGAGATTTTATTATTTCAGATGTTTACAAACTGAAAATGTTCTTTATTACACTAGATGTTCACATTCCCAAATGCAATTAAATTCCACTCTTGTCGTCAAACCTCACTAGGGCTAAATGATGTTCATGGAACATTTGCCTTCAGAGAGTTAGAATAGAATCACTGATTCCTTTACTAATGCATGCAAAGGAGAGGCTATGTACCTCACAGAGGTGGAAAAATATCTTACAGATAGAGTAGAACAGGAACTCTTTATTCTTCCAGGGGATAAAGCAATATAATTATGAGAAAAGGAATAGCATTTTAGAACAAAAATATTTATTGAGAATGTAGGTATATGCTTATTTCCAATACCTTGGTCCAAATTTCTACTTACTATCTAAATTCTCAGGATCAGATTAATACGCTTTCCTCTCCCTCTCCCTCTCTCTCTCTCTCTCTCTCTCTCTCTCTCACTCACACACACACGCACCCCTCCCACAAACACAAAATGCATCCCTCTCACTTCTCTCAATGGGAATTTGTTGGTATTAATTTCTGTTTCCCAAATGCAAAGTTTACCAGGACACATCTGCTGTACCACTGCCTGGTGTCTTTACAGATCAGGTACTCCTGGGCAATGATATCATTTAGACTGATAAATTCAATCAAAAAGGAGAACTGTAACTCCCAGACTATGCGGACTTTAACAATGACCAACTGTGCTTCCTTCACCTTATTGGGCCACTCCCATTACTTGCCCTGACTATTGCACAACTGCCTCTGGTCACTCCCTGCACCACCAAAAAAAATGAAAGAAATCCATTCATTAGTTACATCCACAGACACTTCTTAAGCACACATTCTGCTTAGCTCTGGCATAGAAGAATCATTTAAGCATATTTCCTTCCCTTTGGGAAATCACAGTAAAAGAAGAAAAGAGATGTATACACAAATAATTACAGTCATGCTTACTGTATTGTCACTGATCTTTAAATGTGCTACGGAAGCAGACAGAAAGAAGCATCAAACCAACCTGCAAGTCAGCTCGGTGCCACAATCCTGCCAGAGGTAGCTTCTTAAAAATATGCTCCAATCCTGTCACTGTCACCCTTTAAAACTGCCCATGAGAACATTAATCTACAAGATAAATCCCACAGTTCTTAAGATCACATAAACACCTTTCATACACTGGCCCTTCAGTTCCCTCTCATTCATACATCAGATTGCAAGGTCCAAATCCTGACCTTCCTGGCAAATGTACTTAGCCTCCCAGTGTTTAAGCTTCCTCCTCTGCAAAACAAGAATAATTCAGTATCTACTTCATAGGAATGCAGTGATGGTTAAAGGATATGGATGGTGCTTGGCACATAGTGCTTGTTAACAATCATGTATTTATCACTACCAATTCATTCAGCAAAACATCATTTGCTGCTTCACATGATGGGCTCTCCAGCCACAACAGTATGTTGATAGTTTACAAAAGGGCCATCCTGCCCTCCTCACTCCTCCACAAAGTCTTCCCCCAACTTTCTCTTCCTCTCCGATGTTCTCATCACACTTCCTACATATCTGTTAGATCTTATTAACATTATTATGGCTTGTAAGTTTGTTTCTTCCACCAGCGATTGTAAATTACTGCTCTGTATGTGTGAGCGCGCGTGTAAATAGGGGGTGTGGGAAGATACTCAATCCTGGAGATTGAATCCTCTCCTCCTCATCAGGAAAAGCCCTCGTTAGACGTTCGATAAAAATTAAGTAACAATAATAGCTAATATTTATTGATTCTCTTATTAAATGCCAGACACTGTTCCAATCGCTTCTAACGTTTTACCCCATTTTACAGATTAAGGATACTAAGGTACTGAACTGAAAAGCATGAAGTCTAACAGCTAGCATATGGCGCAGTCCGCATTCGAATCCAGGGATCTGACTCCAGATTCCAGGCTATTAACTCCCTCTTCTTTAACATTAACTGATGGGTGGCTGACCCTAAACTTAATGATGGGCTCCCGTGCCCACATTCCAAACTGCCTGCAAGCAGGAAGAAAGATGGGCATGAAGAGGCAAAAACATCACACCAAAATCCCCTAAAAGGAGCTTTTTCCAACCAGAAGCGGCTTCCAAGCATCCCCCACAAACGAAGGCCAGAAGCCTCCAGATCCGCTGCAGCGTTCTTGTTAAGATCCTTACCGGCCTAAGGTGGGCGTGCCCTGCACCCAAGAGAGACCCTCGCTCGCCCGATACCAATACCACAAACAGTAGCCAGAGAGGAAGCAGGAAATAATGAGCGCACCCCGATTCCCCAAAACTGCCCCCAACATGAAACTTTCCAGTACCGGGTCTGCAGCATCCAATTTTCAAAGTTTCCCCACCCTTCACACAGCTCCCCGCGGATTGCGCCGCAAAGCAATAACCGAAGGGCTGGTTGGGCCGTCACCCCGCGAAATATCCAATCAGAAGTAGGAAAAGGCCCATGTCGGCTCCGCTCTTTGCTGGGAATTGCAGTTCATACTCTGTAACTTTAAGTCAAGGAACCCTAGTCAGTTTTTCTGTAACGTAATTATCGAAATCCTGTCGAGCAAAAACAAGCAGTCTTGAAGCCAGGAAAAACCTTGCTTGGAATTTTCCCTTTTCTTTCTTCTGTCACTACACTTAAAAATTGCCTAATGGACCAGAGAATCAGTTTATGGAATAGATGATAATACACGTGTCATTGAAGAGGTTTTGGAAGAGAGCTTTTACCTTGTTTTGGTTTGCTTGTTTCACTACCCTTTGGTGGTGAAACAATTGGGAAATGGTGAATGAAACTGCTTAAACTGAAAACACGTAATGGGGAAACGTTGAGTCTGTAGCTGAAGAAGAACATGAAGGGAAGCAAACAGAAGGTAAAAACAGCTGTGACAAGGAAACCTAGAAAGCCATTAATGACTCGGTTTCAGATATCATATTTCCAAAAAGCTTTCGCTCATTCGTTTCCCTTATCTCTCCTGTGCATCTCTCTATCTTATAATTTAGCTCACTATATCGTAATTCTTCACCTGCACCCCTAGTGAGCATTTACTGTGAGCAACTTGAGGACAGGTACCACATTTTATTCCACTTTTAAAATAGGGCCTAGCACTCTGTTTAATTAACGGTTGTCAGGTAAAGGGGCAAATAAATGAATGGAGTTCAGCAGGGAAAACGGGAATTCAGAACGTAGGGCTCTGGGATTTTAAGCGAGCCCAAGGGGACAGAATAATGGAGGAGGACTCCTTGCTCTGGCAAAGCACTGTCACTGGATGGCGCTCAGCAAACGCTGTTCTTGTCACTTTCTCCGCCGAATGCAGAACGGAAGGTGTCAAGAGGTAGAGCTGTCAAAACTGAGAGGGATGATCCTTGGCTAGGGAGCCCCGATTTACTGTTTCCGAGCGTCCTAGTTTTCTCTAATCCAGAGAGGTGGCGCCGCATGACCCAAACAAATATGGTGCTGTATTTGCATCCTCCCTCCACTGACCAATAGGAGTAGCCGTAGTCATCATCACCGCCCCCTCCCTCACCCTTGGGTATGAGATCTGTCACCTGACTCGGCTCAAACATGGCTGCGCTGGAATCTCTACTGCCTTGGCGGCCAGGAGTAGGTGAGTGTAAAACACCTCAGACAAGGCGGGGGCGCTCTCCACGACCCCTGCGGGAGCGCCCCTGCGCCTCTACCCCCCACAGCCCTCCAACTCTGGCACAGATTCGTCTCATATTCAATCCCCCGCCTTAAGAGAGGGCTCAAGCTAAGGAGGTTCCTTATGAATTTCTTAAGGAGGCGACCACCTGGGGATTTAGCGCCGGACTGGGCTTAAAGTTCGGGAAGGAATACGCAAGTGGAGTGATGGGTCTGCACACACTCAGGGCTAATACGACGATTAATATTAATTAAATATTGGACGTGTCTAGAGAAACCGGATCCACCCCGTCGAGTACTTCTCAAAAAGACGTAGTAACATGTCAAATCAAACTTACCAATAATTAGGAAAGTTAAGTCCCGTCTTTCCCACTCGAGCTAGTAGTTCTAGTTTGGCTATATTATAGTTCCGTTTCTTTTCACTCTGGTGCGTATTGTTTCTAGGAGGAGCTTCACGAATGAAAAAATTGACAATGTATTCTGCGTAATTCATCTCCTGTGTCTCCCTGCACTCTGTGCTGGGAAAATGCTGCATCCATTTGGAAAAGAGGAAACTGCTTCCCAGGAGCAGCTTTTTGGATTTTTCTGTGAGTGCCTTCGGAGAGGAGAATGGGAGCTGGCACAGGCATGTGTACCTCAGCTCCAGGAGGCACATGGAGATATCCCAAAGAAGGTAGAAGATATACTTCAGGCTCTGGTGGTGTGTCCAGATGAGCTGAGGTAAGGATCTCTTCCTCCCAGACAGTCACAGGGTAGAAGATACAAGGCTCAGTATTTGGGCTCTGGTCAATGTGCCTCACTCACCTACCCTGAAGAATTAGCAGAGGCAGAGGTGTTTCACAAACTGAAAATTTACCTCTATAATACATGCTTATTACTTAATCAGTATTGGCTTTGAATTATCATTGGGAGCCACACTTAATCCTGGCCAGCAAAGTATGCCTGCAACTACCATTTCTTGTTTATTATCATTAAAATAGATGGTAGAACTGCACTGAAAAGCATTTTCTTTGCCTCCAAAAAAACAAACCCTGCTCTCTTCTGGATTATGAAATTGAATATGTTGTAGTAGCTTCACCAAAGGACTAGAAGTTATTTCACTTAAAACTTCTTTATTATGAAATAATAATACAAAGATTACCCTTTGCCCAGCTACCTCCAGTTACGGTATCTCATAAGCTATAGTACAATAACAAAAAGGAAAATGACATTGGTACATTACTATTAGACCTCAGATCTCACTCAGTTTTCACCATTTTTTAAATGTGTTCATTTTTATGGAAGGAGTTTTATGCAATTTCATCCATGTATAGATTCATATAACTACCACCATTATCAAGAAACAGAACTGTTCCATTACCCCAAAAGAATTACCTGACTCCTTGGGACTACCCCTTTGTACTTTGACCCTCCTTGTCCCCTGTCAACCACTGTTCTCTGTCTAATTTTTAATGAAGTTCTTCTGGCAGTGCTATTAACAACTAGAGTTATAGATGTTAAATGTACTCTTCAGTCTCTCCCTCACTTTTCCTTACTTTGGCAGTTAAGTCATACTGTCTATTATATTAACACATACAGAGTAGAGACTTCTTTTTTTCCTTTATTTTTTCCCATAAATTTGGGTTCTGGCCAGTTACTCTCCAATTTAAATTGCTAACTTCAAGGAAAGGCTTATGAATTTCCATAACCCTGTTTTTAGCATACAGTTAAAAATAACTTTATATGAAGTTCCTTTTTTCATTTTAAGACTACTTGAGATTCAGTTTCTATTTTCAAGAATATGCTTTAGGTAGCTTTGCTTTTATGGTTTTCTATGTAATATGTTGTTTAAAAATAATAAAGACTAAAAAAGGAGGTGGAGGTAGGATTGAGATCCTTTTATTTTCCTTTTTTTCTCCCTTTTTTTGAAATGAAAGCTGCCAGCTCCATTCTAGTTCTCACTTTATTGATCTGTCATATACTTTCAAAATTTTTTCACTAGGACAATGACTTGCCTGTTCATGTTTAAAACAGATTGAGCAGTGAAATCTAAATCTTGGGTCACAAAAGAGAAAAGGTCAACTCTGTTAAGAAATTCCTTCTTTTTACATTTTTCAGATGTGGACAGGACATCAACCCTCAAAGATTAGCCTGGGTCTGGCTTCTTGTACTAGAAGAATGGTTGGCCCGAGAAAAGGTAAGTAGCTTTATATTTTAAATTCTCCCCTGAGGCCAGGACTGAGAAGAACTTGGAAGTAGTTATAAGATTTCCCTTCTGTTTCCTTCATTATGAGATTTGTCTTATTCCTCTCTCAGTATTGACAGTGAAAATGGCTAAATTTTTATTACCGTCTCCTCACGTAAATTTATTCTTTAATTCACTGACGTACATTGGCATGTAATACCACTGAAGTGATACCATTTTGTAAATACCACTGAGAGTCTTGTGTCTGAACAGAACTGCAGAGTTTAGTGAAAGTGACAAGAAAGAGAATAAAGTATAAACCTCAGAATACTCAAGTAATGGAGGATGGGCTGAGCTGAAACCTGGTGGTTCTTCTAAAAATCCTATGTTAACCAGTCCATACAATGAAATCTTATAGAATTAATCCTCACTAATTAACAATTTCATAACTCATAACTAAAGCTTATCAAATATAAAAACAAAATGAGCAAATTACTGAAAGAAAACTTGTAAAGAAGTTTTTTTTTTAAGAAAAATTGCCATGAAAAGCCTTTTTAGAAGTATGTGATAATCATTAGAAATTGATATCCATTAAAGGGATTTCTCTGAGGCAATTTTGTATTAAATCTCAAACTTTGTTTTCCCAGCATCAAAGATCATTTTGTCCTTAAATCTTGAGATTTAAGTGGGGTACCTCTAACTCAGAAAAGAAATGGCTGGCCCAAGGTCACACCATAAAGCTAGTCGGCAGAACTAGAGCTGGAACCAAGATCTGACTTTGAGTCCCAGTCCTCTGCTTTTTCCACCTCAGTATTATTTTTAGCCCTAAGAACTTAAAAGTAAGAGACCATAAACTCTATTTTGTAAATGTCTATAATTTAGCCTGATTTTCTCCTTTAGGCTCCTCAGTCATCAAAATTAATTTTGTCTTTAGCTCCAGTTTTGCCTGACCCATGACACTTCTCCACATACCTGTCAAAAAGTAAAAGAAATTATTGATCTAAATTTACCTCTTATCCAGGCTTTGGCCAATTGTCAAAGAGAAATGACCAAAAAAAAAAAGACTAGCAGGGGAGTGAAGAAAGAAAGGCAAAATTGAAAAATAATCAACCCCAGGGTGATGAACAGTTGGCTACAGTTTCAGATCTAAAAGAGAAAAGTCAAAAGATTCAATAGTATCTTCAAAGAAAAAAACAAAAAAAAAGTCTTGCTGTTACTGACAAGGTATCATCTTTCTAATACATACATGGGATTTGTCGAAGCAGATGGATTCTTCCCTCACAAAGGGTACTTGCCTACTGTATAGCCGTCTGGTTGCTTATTTTCTGGACAGTTGCTCACCCAGATCAGGTGGTAGATTACACTTGCATGGCTCCTTAGCAGAGGCTAAGAGTTGTTCTTGTTTTTCCCAGCATCAAAGATCATTTTGTCCTTAAAGCTCTAGTGCCTTGGCTATTTAAACAGCTCTGAGAATGTTTTAAACTTTCAATAAGGACCTCAGAGAATTTTTCAACTTTTATACAAGGACCAAGATTTCAAATGCATTCTTGGAGTAGTTCTACTAGGCCAGGCATGATC